TATATATATATAAATAAATATATATATATAACGGCAGCTTTGGATATCTTTTTTAGCTGGAGATACTGTTGTCTTAAAAAAAAACAAAAAAAAAAAGTAAATAAAAAAAATATTTCACATGCCTTATGTGATACCTTAGGAACAGTATTGCAGAGTTTTGACGTTTTAAAACCTTGACTTTTCCAAACAGCAGTATACCTTGCAAAAAGTTATCGTCCCATGCTTAATCCGCAGTCTCATTGGGTATATTACAGAAAGAGACGCATGTATTATATCTGACTTTTTTCTTTTTTCTTTTTTCAAAAACGTCTTGGCTGGGTAAAATTTAATTAAATTTAAATTAAATTTCTCTAATTTTTTTTTTTTTTAGTTTTTTAATATTTTACAGAAAAAAAAGACCAAACTTTTTTATCCCATTGAATCTGGTCATATACTTCCATCCAATAAAACTTCACATATGGGGTTGTTACAGCTTCCTTTTTGAAAGAGAGACCTGATTTTGTAATTAATTGAGAAAGGTTGTGACAAAAACATACATTTCCCACTCCAAGGGGTGTGATGGTAGAGACGAAACACTGGATACTCCACCGTAACCTCTTAAACGCATTATAACTCTTTTAGGAATTGCATCCATTACAATGGAAACTTACTTGCAGAATTCAGCATCTTCTGCTGTCAAAGGCTCGTCACAGGTGGCTTTGGTCATGTGACATGCGCAGAGGACGCACAGAATCGACGTGTAAAATAAATACATTTTCCAGAGACCCTTCAACAAACACAGGAGTGTAGGCGATAGTTATTAACTGATTTAGTGTTATTACGTTGCGTATGCAAAACAGCCGCCATTTTAAGACATTATGTTAAAAGAAATGTACGTAAGCTGTAAAAGAATCTGTCTGTTTGTTGACAACTCATGTTTTTGATAACATTGTTGTGTCATTTACCTGCAATTCTCGACAAACCTGCTGATATTAACGTTTAGTTGCAGACGGGGAACTAGTCTGTAGCCGTCGACTTAAAAATAGTAAGCTAATATTATGTTTCAAAGTTAAATAGGGAAACGCATTGGAGCCGCCCACTCTTCACTGCGATTGGTTGCCACTTCTGTTAGCCGCCAACTCATTGGTTTGTAGACTTGTCAATCATGTTCTTTGTTGATAGGGTAGCGGTGCTTTGATAAAAAATGTATTATTATCAGGTGTGAATACCAAAAGGTGTGCAGGCTAACAGGATTAATTTGTATTTTTAACGAAAATAAAACATACATATTTAGAACTTTTAAAAAAATTAAAGGTGTATCTGATAAATAAATTTGGTCTAAAGGATGTTGACAAATAATGTTTAAACGACAGTTATTAGCTACATTGTGATTCTTAAACACATAAGATAAATCAAATGCATGTAAATAAAAATGTTACACTGAATGACATTTTGTGTCTTGTGGAAACCATGATCAGATCTGTGTGAGTCATTATTAAAAACAAAAAAATTATTATTATTATTATATTAAATTACATTAACCCTTTATAGGGCACTCATTGAATTAGTTTTAAATGAAAAATTATAACCCTGCAGTGTTATTTGGCATTATTTCAAGACGTTAAATCTTCTGTTATAAAAAACAAACAAACAATTATAACAATAATATTTTTATGTTGAAAATTTTATAAACTTAATTAAAAATGAAAAATTCATAAACTAAATGGATTTTTTTTAAAACATTTTTTTAGGAACTTCTTTTTTCAAGTTTGAAAAACTCCAATTAGCTACTTGGGATTGGTGAGGTGCCAATGATGTCATTGTATTCAGTTGATGTCAGAATTATTAGCCCCCCTGTTTATTTTCCCCCCCACTTTCTGTTTAACGGAGAGAAGATTTCTTCAACACATTTCTAAACACAATAGTTTTAATAACTCATTTCTAATAATGGATTTATTTTATATTTGCCATGATGATAGTACATAATATTTGAGTAGATATTTTTCAAGACACTTCTATACAGCTTAAAGTGAAATTATGACATTAAGGATTAACTGGGTTAATTAAGTTAACTAGGCAGGTTAGGGTAATTAGGCAAGTTATTGTATATTGATGGTTTGT